AAATTTTAATTACTTTATTCACAAACGCTTTTTATAGATATCTTCCTGTGAATAAATATAAAACATTATTGCTATGATTTATCATCTATTGACTTGATTAACTTCAAAAAGTGCTGTCGTTCAAGTTTCCCTCTCAATGCTGCTAATCTACCTTTCGTCAAACAGTTTTAAATCAAAAGTCAAGACTTGCTGGAAAGTGTATTTCATATAAACGGCGAAACTGGATAGTACATACAAATCGACCAAGGCACAAAATAAAAATTACAACCTGATTGAAATAACCTATCGTTTGCACGACCTTAAGAGTTTGAACTGATGGTTGACACTCTGTGTTTGAATAACTCGAGGTGCTTAGTGTGTTTTAGACTCCTTTGCCTTTTAGTATACATCCATTCGGACTAACGAATACTTTGAAAAACATTCTTATTTTTAGAGCACTTCAATTATCTTCAATTATTTTATATTTTGTAGCTAAATAAAATGGATGCTAATCGATATTACGTGTTATATTGTCCAACCAAGATTCCAACTATTAATTAGTTCACTTATACTGCAGGTAGAGCAGGCATTCTTCTGTTTATTGGTTGATAAGTCAACCAATTGGCAACAAGCATGACCTTAATGCTCATCTGCCCTCGAGCTCCTCATAATCCAGTCGCCAATCAGAAGATGCAGTTAGGAGCCAGATTAGCTCTTTATTGTACTTAATTGTAACTCAAGACTAATTCAATAAACTTATGATACCTGGCTACACAGCACATCAGACATGAAGACATACTCGGAGCACATTCATATTGCAAGCAGTAGAGGGCGGATCTAACAGTACATAATTAATTGACAATAATTATGGAATAGTAAGACGTATAACAATGGTTGATCGGTCTACTGGAAGCTTACAGTAAGATGAATATAGATGTGCAACAATAAAATTACCTACTAATTATAAAATAAAAATATAAATAACAAAAATGATCCGAAAAATAGTTCCGGAAGTTTCAACTTTCCCAATATTCGTCCCATTATAACATAATGTCAGCGTTGTGTTCTGATATTTTCAATCTATCGCCAATGGTAGTACTCGTGGATCAACTGTTTCTATCGACCTAGCTGTGCATTTTAAACAAAGACTGTTATTCTACAACAGATAAAATGATATTGTATAAAAACTCAAATACAACTGAGAGTAACTTATAAAGCATATTTTTCACGCAGTAGCACTCAATTCAAAGTAGTGATGAAGAAGATAATTATTCAGTCACTAACCAAACAAACAATCGTACATTTTTCAAGAGTTATGATAAATATTTGAAAGTACATAAAATAAAGCTGGTGTAGAAGTCCGAATATAGTTGTTGACTCAACGTTGTTCACCAGATAATCTTTAGATCACCAGGTGTCATAGAATATAGATTTGGCGCTATAATTGTAAAATCACACTTGTTTTAAGATTAGGAACTGGATCACCAACTGCTAAAAATTTCGTTCAGTACTTTATGCAATCTTTATGATTTGAACTAGAGGAATTTAACTGATGAATACATATGCCGTAAAATAACTCCCTAGTGGAATCAGCTTTACTGACATTCGATATTAATTCTCGATGTTTCTTAGATTTATTGATACTACAATCTGGAAGCACTCGTTCATGCAATACGGGCATATCCTGGGACAGCTCATGTGATGAGTATTAGTAACTTGTTTTGATGTTGCGCGTATTATACGTACTACGAATAACAATATATAAGAACTCCCTTTCCATGAGTATTTCATAAGCCTGGTTGTGATGTACGAGTAACTACTGAAGTCACAATAACTAAAGACCAACGAGTGGGGTTATTCAAATTTTTATTGCATACATCCACCATGAACATGACAAATTATATCAACCACATCAGAGTTAAGACAACCGGAAGAAGTAAAAAGAATATTTTTGTAATGATTTCGAATCATTTCCAACATCACCAGTGGTGCTGACTTGGAAGATGTGTAGTGACCTACTTTTATCAAGAGAATGCGATTAGTTTAATGGAAACATTTATTATTATTACCAATTGTACCAGTGATTGTTTTACTGTACTTGTTTGTTTAACTGTACTAAGCACATACATTCTTCCGTCGATTGTGAAATTGCACGAACTTGCGTTTTCTCAGTATTTCCACTTGTACTCATTTAACACGATCTCCGTATTCTTTCAATACCACGAGGTCGCCAACAAATACATCTCAACTACAGCCATCAACCGCCTTCTGATATCTGGTACGCAACCTTCTTCTAGTGGTGATCATAGTCAATTCGACTCGACGTCCCACTACAAAGTATTCGATATTAACGCTGGTCTCTTTAATTTACCACATACATCTCTAGATGAAGGTACTCAGTCAATCATCCGCACCAGACTACGTTTAGGTACGTCGTGATGCTCATCTCTTACAGCTAATCAACTTAGATTATATACTTCTCGATTCATCGATCAACTAAATATATCTTCAAATCCTTTCACTTCTGGCGTACAAAAAACAAATCATATATGTGCGAAAATAAGTACATAAAAGGCGCTTAAGCGTAGAAGCATGACCCGTATGTGTGATAAAGATTACCGTTTCCTAGGAAAAGGATAGATTTCTTATGAAGAGGAGAATGATTTGTAGCGGCAAAACAATCCCAAAAATGAATAGCTCTGTAAGTTTGCGATTCGGTTTACCAGATCACGTCAAGCTCAACAATGAAGATGCCACGAGTATTCAGTGTTTGTGTGGTGTTTGAATTAACTAATGATTCTTTTGTACTTGTTGAATGCTCGATTTCGAATTCTAAATACAATACATTCGTTGTGCCTGTGTCTTCTTAATTCAATTGCGTTAATCCTGGAATTCCTAATTCATACGATAATTAGAATACTATATTGGCGTCGCGAAGGAGCCTGCAATGGAAAAGTTAGATATTCATTCAACTTCGGAAGCTTTTGAAGATTACTTTGAAAGGGTCGAAATCTGGGCTATGACCAAGGAAGATGATGAGGATGTTAATATTGTGGCACACTTCCTCACATTCATTGGAAAAGAAGCATACAGCTTATTAAGAACTCTGGCTATGCCGGAAAAACCCATTTCGCTTTCTTATACAGCTCTCAAGGATCTACTGCTAGACTATGCTCAGTATACAAATTTCAAATGTCGTAAAGGAGGAAGATTTCGTAAAATGATTCATGAGGATATAAAAAAGTCCACTACATTACTACGTCATCTCAACCTAGTGCATACTCAAGGTTATGCAGACAATTCATTGAATTTGGATGCAGTTCACGAGGATGGGGACAAGTTTGGTCAGTGTTTGTCCTGTTGCAAGTTCCACTCTTCTAATTCATGTAAATTTCATAATTCTAAATGCTTTAAATGTCGTGATATTGGACAAGTTCAGTCAGTTTGTAATGCTAATGTTCATCTTACTGCAATTAATATTAAGTCTTGTAATTCTGATTCTACTGAGTCGAGTATTCATGATGATTATTTATCTTTATCAACGATTTCAAAAGACAGTGCAGAGTCATATGGCAGTTCAGAGTTAAATGAAATCCAGAATTCTTGTGAGACAACATTTCCTAATCAACCGATTTATCAGAATTCTCATGCTATTGTACCAAGTATGACTTTTCCTAATGATTCACATATTTCTAATGAAATTACTTGCAATTCTGAGGAAAATATGTTAAATGAACCTAATCATGATCGAAAACCTGATGTGGTTTGGATAGATGCTGATTTTTCTAACGATCCTACGCTCTGCAATGACAGTCCTGATGAATTTCATGAGAATATTTCAGAAGAATCAAATCCTGATGTCATATCATATATTACCTATCCTCATAATGTATTTGATCTTCGTGAAAAACCTGCCCAATGCGAAGCACGAGTACTAAGTGACCTCGAGTTTTATTATATTTCGGATGATTTCATATCAACTGCTGTTTACTCTTATCACAAAATCAGTTCTAATATTTACTCTAAACAATGTGAGATATATGCTTTAAATGAAGCCACATTATTCATAACTTGGAAGTACAAAGATCCAACATTATTTCGTGGGGGGGGATAGTGTTGAAAAATCTATGGTTCGAATTATAGATATTAATGATTTCATTACAAAACCGACATGCTGGTTGTATACAATTCCAGGTGAGTCTGTTCCGATTTCGTTTGTTAATTCCAATACTAATGAGCACTTTCTAGATACTACAAAGTTTTTATCTTATACAATGTCGGACAGACTCAGGATGAACTTAACAAGAAGACGTACAACCGATTACAAACACTTATACTTCTATTTAAGCTGTGGCGGATGTGGTGTTTGAATTAACTAATGATTCTTTTGTACTTGTTGAATGCTCGATTTCGAATTCTAAATACAATACATTCGTTGTGCCTGTGTCTTCTTAATTCAATTGCGTTAATCCTGGAATTCCTAATTCATACTATAAGTAGAATACTATAGTTTGACAACGCTTTAACCAGTAAAACCTAATATAACTCTTACCCACCAAGAGAAATCAAAAGAAAGAATCGAGGAGATTGGAAGATATATTTGGTGACTATCCATATATCGGGAATCGTCTTTTCTAATCTGGCTAGCGATTGCAGTAGATGTTCAGCACGGCGTGATCTGGTGCGGATGCATGACCGAGCGCCTTTAGCTAGGTGAGTCCATCAAAACATGTGGTCAGCATCCAATGTCAAAAACCTACAGAGCTATTCATTTTGAAGATTTATTTACCGCTACAGACTCAATAACCACATACTGTCTGAACTATTAATGTCTGGTCAAATGCTTGGGAGAATTATCTGTGTATTGGTATTAAGCACAAAATGCCTTCTGACTAAAAGTAAAACCCTATAAAGATTGTTATGCGAAAACCTCCTGTATTCTGTTCACGAATATTTGTACCATTTTAATAAAAATTAGAGGGTTTGTTAAAATGTACTATTTTGAAGGACAACTAACACAAGTTCCTTTGGTTTTGGCGGTGATTTTGGAGGGTCACAGTAACTGCGTATAGAAGTGTAGTCCCTAAAATCGAGACAGAACGACTTGCACGTTTTAAAGAATTAACTTTATCAATAAAATATAGTTAACATGGAGTTAAAAGTTCCCTCTGATGCGTATATAACGCAATATCAACAACAGCAACATCTGGATCACGCTCGATCATGGATTCAACATTTAAGCAGACAAAGTATTGACCACGCCCCATTTTTTGTGAGACATACCACTTTAGTTTGTACATTAGGTACGTCATTGTTGTTTTCTGAGCTTTATATCAGGTGAACTTTGGGACTCGGATGAAAAAATTGACCAGATGATTAAAGGTGGAATGAACATCTTGCGTCTGAACTTGAGTATGGGATCTAAAGAAAGATATGCAGAAGTTATTCGCCGAGTCCGAAGTCTTGAGAAATCTTATGGACATAATCCATCTGTTGGGATCGCACTAGACCTATCTGCACCTCCTGTGCGTACAGGGCTTGTAAACGGAGTACGTCACTTTTTTTTTCTTTATTAACTTGATAGAGTGTTGATGGCACTATAGTCCTTCAGAATGGTCAGATGACCAAGTTAACTATCGACAGCCAATATGAAAACAAGACGACGAGCTCCATAATTTGGATAAACTCACAATATTTTCCATCTATTCTGAATTCTATCGCAACCGGGGATCGAATTTACATAGATGAAGGCATAATATCTTTGATTGTTCGTGATGTCGAAGTGAATAACATAAGTTGTTTTGTTGAACAAGGAGGTAAATTTCGCACCTAGATATAATTTTTTGTAGGTGAGGTTGGAAGTTATAAACGTGTTCACTTCCCATGTGAAAGGATGTACGAAGCAACATTTAATAACCTTTATAAAAGTGACTTGGAATTCGCTGTTCAGTGCCAGGTTGTATCCAAATAATAACAGTCTTATAATTAGGTTGATTATGTTTTTACCGGTTATTCCATTAACGTTGACCAAATTATTCAAGCTAAAAATATTTTGGGCAAAGACATTTTACTCTTTGCAAAGATAGAAACCAAGGACTCGGTTAAAAAGTAAGCCATTTTCATAGTCTGCGTTACCATATTTGATTGTGTAATGAATATCATATTTCATCTAGTTTATTACTATAAATTTAACATCTATGCAGATCTACATATTTGTTTCATTCAGTCGTAATTATTAGATTCGTTACGAAAACAATCCATTTAGGAAAGTTCATATCGTTCATTATTTAATTAGATTAGTAAATAAGATTTCTAAAATTCTCTACCGGAACACGTAATATCAGCACCTTCTTTTGATATATTCAAAACGAGCTTGTACCTCCACAGTGTTACAAACTGCAGGGATTAATATAGTTCGATAGATCTCCTTTCCTTATTGCTGAAGACAAATGCAAGATAACGATTGGGTCTTGATGATAACGCAGGATCTACTCCCATTAGCCTTTTATTTCTTCATCATAGAAGTCTGGCATACAGTTCAAACTTATCATGTAAAACAAGCCCTAAGTCTAGCTATCCATTTAACACATTTCTGTTTCTAGACCCGACTTCAATATATGTCCACGATGTCTTCATAGTGCGTATGACAATTATCCATTTTAGTTCAGGGACGTTTAACCAATTCTGCATGTTTTGGAACTCTAAATTGCATATAGTCGATGCATCATATTCCCACTATTCGTATTGTCTAGCTGTTTAAATAACGGTACTAGGTTTTTTTTACTGCATTTCTTGAAAGGACTAAAAGTTTTGCTAACTTACGCAAAATGACCAACATTCACAAACTGTATTTATTACATCTTAGAATCAGATACATAAAACTTTATTATGTGTGGCGTCTACATGTTATTTGTCTATCACAAGTTGATCCCGTTTTAGTTACCTCTTACTCACTGCTAATTTTTGTCGTGGTTCTCACAACAGTAGTTGTGACTTCAAAACTGATGAATTCCTTCTTACTTGATGATGTCACAGATACCCATTAACCGACAGAGCTGTTGTACGGAACACCATTGTAATCGAGGGTTCCAGAGCCAGTCAAACCAGAAGTCAGAAATGAAAGGTTTTGAAGATATATTTAGTTGATCGATGAATCGAGAAGTATATAATCTAAGCTGATTAGCTGTAAGAGATGAGCATCACGACGTACCTAAACGTAGTCTGGTGCGGATGATTGACTGAGTACCTTCATCTAGAGATGTATGTGGTAAATTAAAGAGATCAGCGTTAATATCGAATACTTACAGAGTCATTTATTTATTTACAGCCATATATAACGCTAATTTCCAAGAATAAATACTTCGATGTATGTTGAGCACTTGCTCTCCATCTCATCAAATCAATTAGCCTGAATGTCTTAGTTTATTTTGTCAAGAACTAATACTGCTCAATATCTCGCTGCCCATGTCATGCTGTTATTCATTATCGTCTCTAAGTGAGGTAAGCCACATAAGTCTTTCCAAATATACTTTACTATGTAAAGATGTTTATGAAATACGAACATATAATACATCAAAAGCTTAGTTGTGTTACCAACATTCATCAAAATTAACCAATTAATCATTACTTAGTAATCATTAACTTGTTATAATGATTAACCATGTCTGTCAGTACTTCACTGTTTAAAGTCGCCAGTTCTGTTGTAAGAATTAGTTATAATTCTTTCCGTTTGTTTAGTTACCATTCGTGGATTTGGTGTAGTTTCGTACGGCTTTTGAAGTTTTTTGTGATTATGGTAATTTATTACTACATTATCGTTTATTTGTAAATTCCGTCAAACATTGAGTCGTCATTTCATACCCATTCCATCCACTTGAGACGTTAAAAAAATATCCCGTACCTTTGGACAAGTATGAATGATAGTACGTTTCTTAACCATATTTTTTTATATTTAAGCTGTGTGTATTAAGATTCCTAAGATAAGTTCATTTATTAAACATGGTACTACTACATTGTCTCCCTAACAAATTAATGTGATAATAGTAAGTGTAATTGCTAACTTCTACTTCGAATCAATATCCTCGTTTTCAGCTTACATGATATAATGACATATTCTGACGGAATCATCATCGGGCGTGGTAGCCTCAGCTTATGTTATCCAAACGAAAAAGTCTTTCAGATACAAAAACAAATAATTGCCAAATGTAATATATTCCAAAAACCCGTGTTTGTTATAACTCACTTACTTGAGTCAATGAGGTTTAAACCGCGTGCAACCAGAGCAGAAATAAGCGATGTTGCTAATGCCGTCCTCGATGGTGCCGATGGACTTATACTGACTGTTGAAACTTCCAGAGGATTGTTTCCCAAAGAATCACTGACAGTCTTACATAAGGTATGTTAGTTTGTACGTTTATAATGCCAATTTGTAGATTTCAGTGTGACCATGATTTTAAATTCAGTTTTGAAAACTGTGTCTTATTTGCATGACACTTTCTACGTAAACAGTGTTCCCAATTTCTGTTTATTGCAGTCGAATGTAGTATTCTCTCCAAAGATTAGATTGCGTAGGAAAGTAGTACGTATATTTCGCTATCGGGTATTTTAACTTTACAAAGTACTTCATCATCTTTTTTATGGTACAAAAAGTGCCAAAGTGACAACTCTTTATTGGATCTGGTTGTGTTGTTTTATGGTATTATAGCTGAGATCACTGTATAGCTATGAGACGTTTATCAGTTCATCTGTCATGTTTACTATCAACCCTAAAAATGCTATGTGCATAATGTGTGGGAACATTCCTTGTTTCCTGTAAAACAGGATTGAGCTATACTGTTTGGGTTGTGATGTGGAAGTCTGAATGGTGTCTGGTCTTCCTGAAAATCAATATAAAATTACGCTGGCTGAAGAGGGTATATTATATGAATTGACTCGCTGTATTGTCGCTATAAATGGTGTAATTATTACATGTTCAGCTGAACGTGTAATTATAAAAAGTAACCAAAGAACATTCAACACACTTTCGTGAAAACGAATGTGGTTACTTGGTGAATCTGTGGTGTTCTATCGAATGAATAATTCAGAACTATAAATTTGACCTCAGGACTCGTGTATGATTCCTCACTGCTCTCAGGGATTGCTTATTCAATTGATGTTTAGTTGTAGATTGAGTTAAAAATTTGTTATAATTAGATTTTAAGGCATATTAACCTGACGAATTAAACGTAAGACTAAGTCGAAACCTTTTAAGCCTTAATTTTTAAATATACTATGTAAAAAGACGAAATGGTGAATTCTTAAGTGAAAAATTAAAGTTCTTAAAGATACTTTTATGACAATTTGTATCTCAGTGTCTCTTACTTTTATTCCAACAAGTCTGTTCACTTAAACTATGAAAAATTAACTTTATTCAGCTGCTTCCAATCTTGATTACGTTTTCATAAATTGTTTTTTGGTCAGACTTGTCGTGAAGCCGAGTCCACTATTTTTCATGAAATGTTTTGGATAGACCTTAAAACAGCTCGAGAAGTAAGAGGATTATCAACATGGGATCCAGCATACTTTGCATGTTTAGCTGCTGTTGAAGCTTCCACTACATCAAATTCATCTGCCATTTTTGTAATAACTACTTCTGGACGGTAAGTGTAAAGTCACATGAAGCGTTCATTTCTATGCTACATTTCACTTAAGCCATTCCATTGTAACTCATAGTTTTCTTCAGACAGTATTTTAAAAGTCAGTCTCTGACTTTATAGCTATCACTAGATTTATGGAGTGTTTTATGGTTGCGCCAAAACATGGAATCCTTTTTAAATACCGAGTTAGCACATACCTAACACTTTCTATTTGAAGCAATCTACGTATTTCTCAGAATTTGGTCACTCAGCGATCCTTTTAAATGCAACCAACCCTATCACAACCAGATGTTCACGCACTACTAAAAAATTTTTGTTATCGGTAAATGGTGTCTATTTAGCGACCTAACGTTAGATTATATGTTATTCATAATTGTAATTTTTTTACCCGATATAACACAGTTGTTTGTAGTTTAGTAATTTCTACTTCTCACAAATCAACTGGCTTTAATTTATACTTTTTTTCACTTTATTTTTTTAGTTCTGCCTTAGCCATAGCTTCATTTCACCCTTCTTGTCCAGTTGTTGCAATTATGAGACGACCTGAAATAGCACGGAAATGTCATTCCATTCGTGGTATACATCCATTTGTTTATACGGGTGAGTATCTATAAATCTATCAACCTGCTGTACTTTCAGTTCACTGTTCATATCTAATTTTCTTCAGTCAAATTTTTAAAATTCATGACCCAAAATGATGATTGAAAATAATCTAACCTAGATGGTTCGATAACTTAAAAGCGGCCTCCTCATATGAAAGTTAAATATAGATTACTAAACAATGTAATTCAAAGGAAGTCAAACGTCTCAAATCAACAAAAGTTTTTCCACAAAACACCTCATTCAGTAGTCCCACCACACACTAATAATAATCCAAGTATTTTTGTAAACAACTAACTAAACAACTTTTATTCAGTTGAAATGATCGTGTTTCAAAAACCACACACACTGTTAATTTATGTACCTAACTACAATGTACCAATGTACAAGCAGATAACCCTACCGTAGCTGCTACCTTGACGCGGTGGTCAGGCTTGCCTATCGTGATGACCCAACCGAGCTATATTGGCTGGAACATATGTTCTTGTAGGTTCTACCACGCCAGCCAGGTCGGTTGGAGAACGGTAAGACTAAAAGCAGCAGCTCAAGGTTTGAGGGCGAAGTCGTACTGCTGACTGTAGAGAGGTGTGACAGCAGTAAGGTGTTTCCCTCGGACAACCAGCATGACAGCGATGCTGCCTTCCCACAAGGAGGGGTGGGGTTAGAAAAGGTCGACCCTAAAAATGCACACCTCACCTTACCTCACGGATTTCCGTCTCCGGCGGTAAGGCCCCTTGAAGAACGGAGCTAACACGTCAAAAACCTTCCACAAAAAGGCCGTGCGCGACCGGCCTCAAGCAGTTGTCCCTTGGGCTTTGCGGTCACGCTCGCAGGTCGTCAAGACCAACACTAATCCAATTTCCTTTTCAGGTTCTTCAAGAAATACCCTTCCACGGTGTGGGCAGCCGTGAAGCGAGATCAGCCTTCATACCCGTAACAGCACACGAGACCAAGTTGATCACAATCAAATCCTTCCTACAACTCCTAATACCCCTCTTATCTCCACGACTAACCCTTCTCACGTTTCTTTATCACCTCGCACCGCTAGGGCAAACGATTCGAGTACGCGGAACGTTATCCCTGGTCTCCTGAAACCACGCTCCAAACTACATGTAGGAGCTTTTAACGTACGAACACTGTGCCAAATAGGACAACAGGCTTCCTTAGCTAAGACTTTGGAATCTCGCGCCATCGATGTGTGCTACGTCTCCGAAACGCACATTTGACCTCACCATGTCAAAATAAAGAACCAACTCGATTCACACTTCGTGTATCTGGAAGCCCTGATGCTGCTTCTCGTGGACTCGCCGGCGTAGGTATAGCATTGAGTCCTAGGGCAGAACTAGCCCTCTTAGAGTGGATCTCAGCAGAAATTTATTTGCGCGCTGTCCGACTAAACGGAACAGTAAGGACTCTGAAAGATAGGGACACTCGTCGTTTCCTCTTCGTCGTCTCTGCCTATTCTTCCACTGACTGCAGCTCAGATGATGTAAATAATGAGTTTTACAGAAGGCTTTCCGACCTCCGAAAAGCTTGGCGCTCTGATGTAGTAATAGTGGCTGGTGACCTTAATGCTCAAGTAGGTAAACTAAGCGATAGGGAAAGTCACCTGGGTGGATCTTATAGTGCCGTGGCTCAAAGAAAAAATAATGGCGACCGTCTGTTGCAGCTATGCTTAGATAACCGCCTGTTTCTTGCAAATACTAACTTTAAGCATAAGCAAAAACATCTTTTAACATGGAGACCTCCTAATTCGTCCCAACATTGGACCCAAATAGATCATATCGCTATCAGCCACCGATGGAGGGGCTCGATAGAAGACTGTCGCCCGTTCTGGATTAGATCATGCTCTAATGCGAGCGCATGCTTGTCTGCGTCTTACTGGACGTAGGAAAGACGCTGCAAGTAGACCTCTTAGGACCCTACTTAATGATAGTCGAGCTAAGAGTATATTTCAGGAACAACTAGAAAAACAGTTAGGCAGCCATGTATGTGATGCCCACCCCGAGGCAGCATGGAATGATATCCGAAAAGCTGTGGAAGCAGTAGTGATATCTGCTAGTACGGTAAACCGTAAGGTTAGGAAGCAACACTGGATCTCAGCAGCATCTGCCGCCCTGATAGATGCTTGGAAACTCATTTCATCTGGCTCTGAACATAATGAAGAGCAGAGTCAGCTTAAACGCAAGCTGACAAGAAGCCTACGCAATGATTGTGAACAGTGGTAGATAGCAAAAGCAAGAGAGATGGAAAAGGCAGCGACAATAGGTAATAGCAGACAATTGTTCAGACTTGTTAAGGAAACCGACTGTTAGCGAAACAATCTCAGAGAAAGATGGACATCGCTATGACCTTGATCTGTCTACTCTAGATTAAGACCTTGACGCAATAGGCTGACCGGTTTAACCTTGAGGCTAGTACGCGTAAGTTCGAGGCGGGGTAGAGAGAAAAAAACTATTCTATCAACCGATTGGCTGACAAGCACGGTAATGAGAGAAGACAAGACAACTGGAACACTATTCGCTATATTCCGATATACTGATTTCCTGTGAAATCTCTGAATTCAGATTAGTGCAAAAAGGTACATGAATAAATAGGTGATTTACCCGACCACAACGTACAATAATTTGGAAAAATACAATTATGTCCAAAACTGGGAATTAGGGTAGAAAATAAGGTTCAAAATATTATGTTTAAATTACAATAGCTTCGGAACAAAAAGGAGTATGGCAATGAATGATACATCGAACGAAAGCTCATGTTCTGTACAATAAAATGAGAACAAAAATAAATGTCAGTGTTTTACAATGTTTAAATCAAATGAAATAACGTCCAGAGAAAAAGCTTTCGCAGTTTGTCAGGGCTTCTTGTTTCCCTGTTCACATCAGTCATATTATACATTCTCAATCCAGGAGATTGGATCAATGGGCAGAACACTTTGAGGATCAGTCCAACTGGCCTTCGACCACACATCGGTTTCCCACAATCTCCAGTCAACCTGAATGACCAGTTAATGTAGGTCCTCCGTCTCTTTACGAAGTTGAAAAAGCTATAGAAAATCTGAAGCGAGGGAGAGCAGCAGGCCCTGACAGGTTTACTCCTGAGGTTTTTAAGGATGGTGGTCCAGTATTATCAGTGAGATTAACTGAGGTCCTAGGTAGAATTTGGGAACTGGACGTAATCCCATCTGACTGGTTTCAGTCACTGATTGTGCCAGTCTATAAGAAAGGACAAAAGTTCTCTTGTGACAATCACAGAGGAATCAGTTTGACTAATATAGTGTCTAAAATATTAGCTTCAATAATACTTCGACGCCTAACTAAAGCTCGTGAAGAACAGACTAGAGAAAACCAGGCTGGTTTTCGACCTGGACGTGGTTGTATAGACCAGGTATTCACACTACGTCAGGTCCTAGAACATAGACACACATTCAGATGCCCCACGATGGTAGTATTTCTCGACCTTAAGGCGGCATTCGACTCTGTTGATCGTGAGGTTCTACGGCAGTGTTTGTCAATGAAAGGAGTACCAAAGAAGTACATTAACCTTATAAAGGCTCTCTACTCGAACACAACTGGTAGAGTGAGAGCTTATGGCGAACTGTTCGTCAGGACTATCCACTCTCTTCATTCTTGTTCAACTTTGTCGTTGACGTACTTTTAGAGATAACACTTTCCTCATCTAAATTTGCAGGGGTTGAACTTCTACCAGGAGATACATTTTTTGATCTAGAATATGCCGATGTCATTATTTATTTATTTAAACACATAAATATTAGTACAAGAGGGCACCAAATATATATGCGCCACACAAAACAATGAGAATTCGAAGAGAAAAAAAGAAGGTAAGGAGCGTAAAATAAGAACAATAACGAACAGATTAGTGTAAGGTAGTGTAATAATAATAGTAATAGTAATAATAATAATGGGGAAACGGAAAGATACAATCAGAAGAAATCTTTCAGTTTTTTATTTTTATTTTTAACACATAGATATTGGTACAAGGAGGCACCAAATAAATATGTGCCACACAAATCTCATTCGATATGTGTGAGGGCTGCGATACTGCCCGGGTGCCCAAACCGAAACAGGTAGTTTTCTGAGGGGGCCACTCCCCGAGCCTTCAAATTGAAGGTCTGATCCACAAGACAGTGGAGCAACGTAAGGAGATACAGTCCCATGGAAGCCGGTGACCAACAATTGGTTCATACGCCATTTGTTCCTTTAGGATACTGGAGCCCATTTGCACCATTGGTTTGGAATCTTTCAGTTAAGGAAGAAACAACCATTTTTTTAATGAAGAAAGTAAAAGAAGATTACAGCAGGATCGCCACTGGCTTCTATTCTGAGCCATATCCGATAACGTCTCTAGTCACTGGAAAATAATTATCTTGCTTCGATTAACAATCAAACGATTCACAAATATGATGTCGATGACATAGTTCTATTTGCTGAAGACGCTGACAAAGTGCAGAGTCTTCTGACCACTATAAGCAACAATGCAAGCATGTTGGGCATGCGATTCTCTCCCTCGAAATGCAAAGTATTGCTTCAAGATTGGTTTGCATCGACACCCGAACTAATGATAGGGAGTGAAGTAATTGAGCGTGTCGACCGCCTCACTTATCTTGGGAGTCTCATCAGCCCTTGTGGTCTGGTGTGTGACGAAATCTCACCACGGATACAGAAGGCTCGACTAGCTTTTGACAGCTTGAGTCATTTGTGGCGTAAGCGAGATATCCGCCTATCAACCAAATGACGGGTTTACTGCGCAGCATTTCGTTCCGTCCTACTTTATGTCAGTGAAACATGGCCGGTAAGAGTAGAGAATATTCGTAGGTTACTAGTATTTGACCATAGGTGTCTTTGAAACATTGCTCGTATATCCTGGGACCATCGAGTAAGTAACGCAGTTGTTAGGAGACGGGTACTAGGTAAGGATGGCAAATCAATTAATGACGTAGTGAAACTTCATCAGTTGAGATAGTTGGGACACGTGTTACGTATGCCCAACTACCGACTGCGATGTTTTATGGTATAGGAGTAGGGTAGAAGAAAGCTAGGGGCGGCCAGACCAAAACATGGCACAAATCCATGAAGTCCCTGACAAGTGAACTGAGTCATGTTGGTAGGTGTAGACTACCTGGTTGGGATCTGGGAGATGATAGCAACCGATGGTTAGAGACCCTGAATGACATGGCTCAAAATCGTTTGTAATGGCGCAGGTGCATCCACTCTTTGTGTTCTCCCAAATTCTAATATTCTGAATTCTTCATGTCTCTTTTTTCTCTTTCCAAATTTATTTCACTGGATTATACTCTTTAAATAACATCTCCAAACCCTAATCTTTCCGATTACTGCTTATACTCTTACCACCTCTACTACTACGGGATTTGAATCGACAACTGCATCTCTGTGCTAATGTGGTATGACAACTCGAACTGATGTACGTACTTACGAAGTTCTACGTGCTTACTGACTGACAAGCAGATAGTCTTAATAATAATAAAGTGTCATGTTCGTACCCACAAAGCTGATTCTGTCAGTGAGCATTATATTTTAAAAGTCTGTAACCATACGTCATTACACTAGGGACTGATTTACTGGTCAGAAAACATTGTCGTCTATATATCGTTGGGATTTGTAGCAAAGACTCGTTCTACACAGGAGTGATAAAAATATTCCCTAATTTCCGTAAACTTTGCCAATTTTACTATGTTAAAACAAGCGCTTTCACAGTGTCTTGAATGAATTATTGATTTTCTTTCCACTTCAATATAATATAACCAAATTATTTCTTCCATAGGCGAGAAATTATGTGAATGGTCTCATGATATGGATGCTCGATTGAATGCAGCATTGGATTTTGCCAAAATGCGAGGTTTCGTTGGTGCTGGTGATCAAATTATAGTGGTTACTGGACAAAAGGCAGGAAGTGGTTCTACCAATACTGTGCGCATTTGTGAAGTTCCACCTAAAAATGTTCCTCTATCTTTTGTTAAATCACAACCCTCTTTCATCTCTGAAATCTGATTGTTTGAATTATATTCATTCTACTTTCTGAAATAAAAATATATCAGTACTTTTATGCTTACCATTCCCTATTTCTGCTATCACACTAACATATTCTGACAATTTTGATAAGTTGAATTCCCATGTTTTAGTACTTAATTCTGTCTTTGTTTTTAGATTTGTACTTACATCAATTTTAAAATAGTAAACTTGTTAGTATATATTATGGATTATGCTCTGTCTAAAAAATATTTTGAAAAATATCTTATTTACTTTTGAATACTATTTCTCAAGTAAGAAATATATCTGAGTTAAGTTCTCAATTGACTGGCATGCCAGTGCAAACTTAGGGCAGATGATAGTTGGTCATAAACTATAAGTATCTACCGTTATATTTCACAAGTTATTCTAGGGAAGCTTGGAACAATATGCTTCGTGAAATAACAGTAATCCTGATTGTTTGGATTATCTCGTTGTTGATGTTTTCGACTGAAATTTAGTCAATTTTGATTGGGATATGGATATCTTGTGTATGACGTGAAAAAAATGTTAGGACACCGTCATACTTATCAAAGGCCAACAATCATAGTGTTTCTTGACATAAGGGTTGCCTTTGATTCGTTGGACAAGATTGTACTCTGGCATTGTCTATTGGAGAACGGTGTGTCTGGGAAGTTTATTAACATCTTAAAGGCCCTATGCACAAACACCTCGGGTAGAGTGAGGGCATACAACCACCTCTCTCCATTGTTCCATTCGAGCAGTGGGGTTAGACAGGGTTGCCCAATCTCACCATTCCTCTTCAACTTTGCCATCGATGACATTCTAGAAACAGCTCTGATGGATGTAAGTAATAATGGTGTGAATCTGTTGCCTGGAGAAAGACTTCTCTACCTTGAGTATGCGGACGATATTGTCTTACTGTGCGATAATGCCCAAGGCATGCAATCCCCACTTAATAAGTGTCCGTAGGTATGGTATTTGTTTCGCACCTTCGAAGTGGAAAGTGCTTCTACAAGACTGACAGGATTCTAATCCTGTACTCACCTTGAATGGTGAGCAGATAGAAATAGTCGAGAAGTTCGTGTATCTGTGTAGCTGCATAAGTGCTGATGGTGGCTTGAGTGATGAGATCAATGCACGGATAGTGAAAGCCAGAGCGGCTTATGCCAATCTGGGCCACCTTTGGCGCCTTCGTGATGTTAGTCTGGCTGTAAAAGGTCGGATTTACAACGCGTCAGTGAGAGCAGTTTCGCTCCATGCTTGTGAAACCTGGCCTCTCCGAGTTGAGGATGTTAGACGACTCTGTGTTCGATCATCGCTGTCTCCGAAGGATTGCTGACATCCAGTGGCAACACCATGTTAGTAATGCAGAGGTTCGGCATCGTGTGTTCGGGCACAGGGACGATAGTGCAATCGGTGTCATCATCTTGAAACATCGACTTCGGTGGCTTAGACATGTTCTCCGAATGTCGTCCCAGAGAATTCCACGTCGTGCATTATTTGCCAACTCTGGGACTGGTTGGAAGGAGCGGAGAGGTGGTCAGTACATGACATGGTGTCGTGATATGGAAGAAATCTGCAAAGGACTGGCTTGTGTTAGTCCTTCACGACTACCTGGCTGGGGTCCGAGAGATGGTGCTCCACAGTGGCTAGAGACGTTATCAGATATGACTCAGAATAGAAGCCAGTGGCGATCCTGATGTAACCTTCTTTTAATTTCTTCATAAGAAGTGGTTGTTTCTTCCTTAACTGAAAGATTTCTGATTGTAGCTTTCCGTTTTCCCCATTATTATTATTATTATTATTATTATTATTATTATTATTATTATTATTATTATTATTATTATTATTACACTACCTTACACTAATCTGTTCGTTATTGTTCTTATTTTACGCTCCTTACCTTCTTTTTTTCTCTTCGAATTCTCATTGTTTTGTGTGGCGCATATATATTTGGTGCCCTCTTGTACTAATATTTATGTGTCCAAATAAATAAAAATAATCTTGTGTATGAATTGCCTCGATATATATATATATCAAGAAAATTGGTGTGAAATAGATGGAATTCAGTTAGTAATGGAGTATAGGACTCATATTCCATCTATTCCATCCCAACAATAATCTTGGTTCAAGGGAGTATATACTTTAAATTTTGCAGTTCTTCGCATACCTCTCCACCATTATGTAGTGCGTAAATCTAAATGAATTTACGAATTGCTCCACATGTTTGTGGCTACTGCAAGCTTTAAGATTTGGAAACTTGATTTCGAATATGTATCTTTTTTAAAAGTTTTACATCGTTTTAATAATTTATTAATAGCTGGAACCAATCTAATGATAACACAGTCAGCAAGAGAAACAGTAAAAGCGGACTACGTAAAACTATAACTATGAAAAAAGCAAATCATGAGATCGTTTACAAAATTCAAGCTACAATGACAAAAGAGCTAAACTAGCTTCTGGTGTACATCCAGATTAGTTTTCTTCAAAACGATAGAAAGAATATAGAGTAGAGTAGGCTTTGTAGATACACATACATGAGATCAGTGTCAGCATATCCTACATAACTTCTGATGCTTAGTGTTGGCGTTATACCTTGTAACGACTATTAATTTGAATATTAATGTCCCCGATGCCATGGATGACATCTTAAATATAACGGTTAATCACTTACTATTCAATGAAGTACAATTAAAAAATATTTTTAATTGAATTAAGAAACGTTCATATAGTAAAGAAATATTTTTATGCACTATCCGAAAATAACGTGAATGCTATCTTGTTTTTCAATACAAAAGACTATTATTTATCGTGAACTTTGTAAGTCCAACTTTTACATTTAGATCAAAAAGAGTGAAATAATATCAATTTATATATCTGATAGTAAATTGAGTTAATTACGATAGTAAGTTTAATTCACTACAAAAGAACGAGAAATATCACTAGAGAAGATTTAATACCAGAAGTTTTGGTGTATTAATTTTAATTACTACACCAATTAAAAACAGTACGGAAAATTTGTTCACCAAATGAGAGAAAAACGGCTACGACACAGTTCTATTAATGTCTACTCCATTTCAATCGACATTCCAGATCATTAATATCATAAGCGTCAACATCTACCCATTTTTAAATCATAAAGTATTCCATGAGTTGTATGATCGAACCCGATTTATTCCGATCAGAGATGATCAATCAGCTGATCATAAACATCTTGAAATCCGTTACCTAATATAATTCAAGTTGCCACAGGTAATATATCAGCATTACTAAAGGAAACTAAAAAGATCCCCAATTCAAAGACAGAATAATATCAATGGCAGTGAACATATTGCCTGAACTGGAATTGGTTCCCGTGTGATCGGGTGGTAATGACAGAAAACCAGTTGTGTGTTCTTTCTCTAGTCCTATTATCGATTAGTTCACTTATAGTACCGATAGGTACAGTGACCTATGTACCAAATAACATCAATGAACGACAACCACGATCTTAACACTTATTGATCATCGAGCTCCTAACCTATTAACCAGTCAGAAGACATAGACAGAAAGCCGATCAGTCCTCTATTACACTTAATTCGGTCGTGACTCAAAACTCATGCAAAAATATACTTACTACGTCTGACCACACAGTAACACAATTAAAGGATTCCAATATGTATGTGCTTCAGTCATAACTGATACATAAATGGAATGATAGATAAATAGTTAACTAATGATAAATTTTGAATACCACAGAATATAAAATCGAGTTATAATTCAAACGATAGTTTAAAAATAGGAGAATATAAAAATGCAACAGTGCAAACATCTACTAGTTGGATAACAAAAAATATAAATAATGGTCCTTCGTATGATAATCCCACGAGTTATACTTCCAAAATACTCATCCAGCTAATATCAAATGGTGAAAATAAAGACAAGACAACTGCGAGATAGTACTGAATCTCAAAATTTAGAAGGTTTTGATTTTGAGTCATGTTACTAAAATCTTAAACCATGAATAAGAATAATCCCAAAATGATTCATAATCACTTACTGATTAGTATGCTCGTCCTTCAGTGGATGGGTATTTCGCCTACACCGTAAGTAATTCAAGTCGGCAAAAATCAATCGTTTTCTGAATTCGTCTCTGATGAACACCTTCCGAAGTTACCAATCAAGATGACAGTTTGCCATAATCTCTGGCTCAATCGATAGTGTTTGAGTAAAGATTCTGTAAAAAGTCAGTGTATTTCTTTTGTACACCTTTCAACGACAGACTCTATCATAAAACCTACCGATCTACGAAGTCCAACGCCAACTTAAAGTCAAGAAATACATCAATGATCGGGAGTCGGTGTATGCGTCTAAACCTGGAGCAGGGTGAATATTTGGCGTACGCATTCTTATTCAGGTTTGAAAACACTTAATAAAGCGTTCGACGGTTACTGAGGGTAATATTTTACATAAGACATTAGCCAAACTGGTTATCACAAAAGAATGTTTGTCCTTTCTTATAGACTAGAACTATCAGCGACCGCAACCAGTCAGATGGGATTATGTCCATTCTCAGGCTCCAGCTACGATCTCAGTTAATCTGACAGCTAAAAACAGATCACCATCCACAAAGAATTCTTGGCTTAATCCATCGGGACCTGTCACTCGCGCTCGTTTAAATTTAGCTAACATAGTAAAGTACCTGATAAAATCGTCAATATCATCCGGAATTTATACGACGGACTACAGTGCAAAGTGGTACACGGATGACAGCTGACAAACGCATTCCAAGTAAGGACTGCAGTCAGACAAGGCTGTCTACTCTCCCCATTTCCCTTTCTTCCAGTGGCCAACTGGATTGTGAGGACCTCGAAATCTGAGGGAAAGCACGGATTACAGTGGACAATTCGGAATCAATTAGAAGATCTGGACTTCGCAGATCACATGACTCTTCTATCCCATACACACGAACAAATGAAAATGAAGACAATTAGTATAGCAGCAGCCTCTACATCAGTAGGCCTCAATATACACAAGGGAAAAAGTAAGATCCGCAAATTCAACACAGAACATTAAACACATTGCACTTGATGGAGAAGCTCTGAAAGATGTGGAGTCTTTCACATACCTGGACAGCATTCCTACAATTGAAGAACATATGGAACTCAGAACAACTGTCAATCAATATCAAAGTCAGAATCCTCAATACGAACGTCAAGACAGTCCTGCTGTACGGAGTTGAAAATTGGGGAACTATTACAACCATCATAAAGAAGGTACAAGTATTTATAAACAATTGT